GTTCGGTTGTTCCTTCATTTTACATGAAGTGGCTGGTTGGGTGAGGGGTTATATACAGAAACAGAGAGTGGAACTGCCCAGGACCAACTGGGAATATCTAACTGCCAGTCCAAAAAAGTTCCAGCTGTCATTGGTCTTTCGTTTCTAATATTCTTCATTCTTAAATTTTGTTTCTATTCAGACGTATATCCTAAGTTTGAACTATTATCCGATCTGTATTCATTAGCAAATCCCAGGTAACTGCAAATTAATACAGCTGAAAGCCGAGTAAATCATAAATTTCTATGGAATCTTTTGACTTCCGGCCTGGACAACTCTTCTCGAATTCCTTCACTTGACTGGGCCTAATTCAAATTCAGTTAAGCTTTCGAGTCTGTTTACCAATAGGATTCCCCAGCCTGAGAAACTGGCCTGAAATTTACATAGGTGGCCAGACTGGCCAACTCCAGGGAGCAAATGTTCCAAGGGAAAAAGGGAAAATGCGCCTACTCTTCATCGGACGCAATTTCCGTTTGGATGGAAAATCAAAATCAACCCATCAGCTTAATTATTCATTTAACATTTGATTAGAAATTACGGATATGCTTGGATAGGAGTTGTTTAGCACGGTGTTTTGAAAGGAGAAGGATGTTAAGTCGTCGGTTAATAATAAGCAAACGGACTTTGAAATGGTGGATGGAAAGGATTCTTTTAATTATGTTGATTTAAGATTTTGTTGTGAGGGATTGTGACGGGCTTTTCTCGTCTAATTTTTTGTAAACCCATCACTGCATCTCTACCATAATTCATTTATTAATGGAAATGAAATGATTAGTAATATTTCATAGGCTATAGTAAATAGAGAACTTTAAGAATGGATATTGATTGCATATAATATATTCTTTTAAATTATACTGATATGCTTGGTGCATGAATTTTAAAGAATGTTAAATGTAACGTAATCATAAGTTCAATTTTTCATTAATTTATTCCTTAATTTCAGTAAAATGCTAAATTCAAATAAAATATATATTTGAAATAACACAATTCTAAATGAATATTCCTTTTTCTGGCACAGATATAACTATTTTTAAATGCAAAAAACCTTTAATTTGCATAACGAAAACTGTCCTATTTGGACAAACTTCAATAGCAGTCACATATTGACCGGCCTCAATTAACTCGCTTGCAATTTGCAACCCGTGGCGCGCTGATATTTTTTGGCAGAAAATGAAAATGAAACTAGAAATTCGCCACGCGCTGCCAATTTGCGTTGTTTGACAGGCGGCGGCGGCGGCTGAGTTTTTGGCCCGAGTTTTTGGCCTAAGGCCGCAATTTTTGGATGCTAAATCAGGGGTCGGCAATTGGCGACGCGTGTCTCGGGCCTGTTGACATGGCATCATCATCGTCGTCGTCCTGATTTCGTCCTTCCCATCATTGGACACCCGCTTGCCATAGCCGCTTTTCGTATTTCATAAGCCGCAGGTCAAGTCATTATGCATGCCCTCTGCCGGCAGGGGTTCCAAAAATGAAGCGAATTTCGTCGGTTTGCATGGGCTTAGTGTCGGGCCAACTACTTGAATTAATTTATCTTATCGCCGGCTGCAGTGGAATGGTTGGGGATTGGGAAAAATAGGTCCATGACGAGGACCAAGGACCGGGCATCATGCATTGTTGACGCTCAAGTTCCACTTATCAGCATCAACGGCAATAAAAGTGGCAACAGCAACAATGACTGCCAGCCATCACGGGCTTCATTTGAGGGCATACATTTTTATATGCCATGCGCTTTTCACGCGACCCGTTTTTCTACGCCATTAGCCGCTCAAGTGGAGTCCTGGGGAAAAAAGTGTTGCATACTTAGGCGCGCCGCTCGTCCTTCGGCTGAAATTCAATTTGCTCTCTTTAAGACCGCTGTGTGTGTGGCTAGCATGCCTCACATTGTGGCAAGTCAATTATTTTCTTGTTTAGCAAATTGCTAAACATTCAGGTTTAGTGTAGACATTGTGGCCCCTCAACTTTGTTTTACCCCTAGTTTGTGTGTGTCTGCCACATCCTTCTCATTTTTACCATCATCATCTCGGTTTTGTTAAAGTTTCTTCGTCTTTGCTTGATTTTCTGGTTAACAGACACGTTTGTTAAGCATATAAAAAAAGGGCAAAGCCATCCATACAAAATTCTGTAACAAAAACGAAACTTTTTTGAGGTTATGCTCATAGTTTGCAATATGACATGCAACATGTTATCCCCAGTCAGATGTAAATCTCTCAACTTCCAATTAAAAGTGATATCAACACATTTACTACACATGAAAGTCTGGTATTAAAAGGGATAACAAAAGACTAAAGCCGACTAAAAGGCTTATGAAGTTTGTTGGGACAAAGCTTGACTTTAATTTTTGCTTATATTTAAAAGGCATAGGCAAAGCCTAACCCCGATTCGCATTTCATCTGAAACGAGAAAATCTAAGAAATTATTCAGTTAAACTACACACAAAAAAATTATATTAATGTTTAAGTTATAGCATATACAAATTTAGCATATAAAAATTTAAAAAAAGAAAACTTGCGTTTTTAAATAGTTAAAAAAACTTTAAAAAAAGGTAATTGGTATAATTTTATAATCACATTGTTGTACTTAAAACTACTTTTTTTAAAAATTTATAGGCTCACTGTTTTATTTTCATGGCTAAGGTAATCTCCGTTTTTAAAAAGCGATATACAATGACCCATTTCTTTTAGATTTTCCATCTGTACTGTAAAAACCGAAACGTGCCTGGATTGAGCTGAAGAAGATTTGGCCAAAAGCTGGACTGTAATGCTTGGTAGATGGCCTTGGCAAGTGCTTTGCCAGCTTATTCCCATTCCCACACTATTCCACCAGTCAGGATGACAAAATGCAACTGGAACACAACTCTGACATCTGGCAGCCCATCGATGGAAAAGGTTAAGGGAAAGGCCACAGATTGAGCCTTAAAAAACGCTCAAGAATAACCCCTTTTTGGGTCTTCAAAGGGGGCCCAGAGAGGCCAGCAAAATTGACCAATTAAGGGAAGTGGGTTGGGGGGGTCGAAATAGTTTTAGGTTGTTAAGCCCTGCATAATTTTTATGCAAGCATGCGTTGTTATTTGCCTTGTTAACAGCTGTGTCAGCAGGAGTCGGGTTCGGGTTCGGGATCGGGATAGGGATCGGGTTGGGAGTCCTGGCCCATGCATTCATGGCAACCTCAACGACAAAGTCAACGTCATTGTTCAAGTGCACCATGAAAAGGACACACACACACACGAAGGGAGGGGCAGCCAGGCAGCCGAGTCATAATGCAAATATGCCATAAACTCAAAATGTCAGAGCAAAGTGCAGCAAGATCAACGAGGAGGATGGAGCAAGGAGCATGGAGCACAAGGATACACAAGGACACACATAGGATGCAGAACGCAGGAGGAGGGATGAGGACAGCAATGGCAACATCTCAACATGATGTGCCTTTGTTGCTATTGCTACTCAGAAGACCAGGCTGCCAGGATGGCCAGCACGGAAAGGAAGCCGGGGTCCTGCGATTGATGGATGGCTGCAAAGGACGAGAATGAGACGGAAGAAGGAGCGTCCAAGGAGATGCCACAATCAACGTCATTATCCGTTGGCATTGAGCGTGCTTAAATTGTCACCTCAAGGAAGGCGGCAGGTTGACCGGCACAGACGAAGGAATTTCAATTAAACTCTGCAGCCGATGGAAATATTTGCACATTTATTTTAAGTGTTTAAGTAAATAACACCAAATCTGTTTAATGAAACACAAAGGCAGCTTCGTCTAAATTAATCCTGCCAGCAAGGATGGCAACCTGTTCGAAGGACAACGGTCAGTTTTGCAGTTTTCCGTGTCCTTGTCAGCCCTAATTGGCTTAATACATTAAATATACCCATGTACGTATGTAAATTGAGCCAAGGCAAAAAGGATCAGACTGAAATTTAATAAATCAAAGTAAATTGTCCATGAAAATGATGGCATGGCTGAGCTATATTTTCGGTTTGAAATTCCTGAGAAAACTAAGCTACACCATCAACGCCACTAAACGAGTCGTTTCCTGGAATGAAAATGAAACATTTTATGATCCCTAATGAACCCAAAGCGAGTTTGGGGATTACTTCACCGAGGAAAATGTGCTGGATAAACAAAACAGCCACCTCCATACATACACACGTTAATTATGAAAAATTATCTATTGATGTGACTGACCCGAGGGTCCAACTTCTGGCCAAATCACGTGGCGAAAGTTCATTTCCACAGCCATTAAAATGAGCAATGTGCCCCACGACAGCTGGACACAGGGGCATATGGTGCGTCCCTCCATCATTTTGTGGCTTTCACATAATTGCAGTTTATTAAGCGACTTCAGAGAATACGGAAAATATTCGTTTGAGCGCAGCATAACATATTTATTATTTAGTTATGATTCGTTATATCATATCTTAAATTATATTGTAATTTAAAATAAATAAAAACATGCTTGTACAAGGAATTTTATTTAAAGAGGTTTTTAAGGTTTACAATTAATAATCGATTTAGTATAAGGTTTCCTAAAACTTTTCGATTGGATTTTATTTTTGAAATCTAGGTATTCTTATAAATACTTCTTATTATTCGTTATATCATATCATAACTTGTATTGCGTATAATTTAAAATGAATAAAAACATGACCTTAAGGGTTTATAATTTATTATCGATTTCAGGGTCTCCAAAACTTTTCGATTGTACTTTATTTTATAAATCTAGGAATTATTATAAACATTCCTTATGGTTCGTATACCTTATCTGTCAAACTGTTTAAAAGTAATGAAAACGTGTTGATACAAGGTTTCAAGGTTTAAAATTTAAAATCGATTTATTGTTAGGGTCCTTAAAACTTTTCGATTTCATTTCTTAAATATAGGTATTATTATAAACATACTTATGATTCGTTATATCATACAATAACTTATATGTCATATAGTTTAAAATAAATGAATACGAGTTAAAACAAGGTATTTTATTTTAAGAGGCTTTCGAGGCTTACAATTTAAAATCGAGTTAGTATTAGAGTCCCTAAAACTTTTCGATTGCATTTTTTTTGTTAAGTCTAGGTATTCTGATAAACATTTCTTATCTGCATTCTATATTGTGCAATAAAAGCCAGCCAACATGTCAGTGCGGATAAAAACTTTAAGAAAAGCTGGTTGGAAATTTCACAGAGGCCCAAAATTGAAACTCGGAACTGGTAAATATTTAGATGGGTGAAGAATATTTCCAGCTGTAACGAAAGAAAGACCACTAAAAAATATTCAAATAATTTACTGCATAAAAGTTGACTGACCGTACGTTGAAAATTTCTTAGTTTACCAGCCTCGCCGATCTCCAAGTTTGGCCGTCGAATAATCCAAAATTGGTTCAATGCACCCTGAACAGAAATAGTTAGCAGAAAGAGGTCTAATATGTGTTTGACCATAAGTAACAAAAAAATTAAACTGCTGTACTCTAAATCCAAAATCATCCTGAGACCGAGTGAGGTGATCAGCAAAAGCTTATTTATCATAGCCAAAAAAAGAGGCAACACAAAAATTCTCTGAAAAGTAGTGCTGATATTATATATCTCTTTGTACAAATGTATGCACTTTTCCAGTCGATTGTGTGCTCTTCTTATTTCTTTTTCGTCGGTCGCAGTATTCATTTTCTGAAGTTGGGTTCCTAAATGGGTACGTACATATTTATTGACCTCCGAATAAAGGACACCAATACTCAGATAGGCCATACAATTGAGGTGAATGAACATGTTAGTGCCGGTGACAACAGAAACGTCGCACCACCAGAATATCCAAAAGTACCAAGAAAAATTCTTTTCTGCCACCCAGATATAGGTTAACTCATGGAAAAGGCAGATCAAATTTAGCAGGATCAAAATCAGCTCTCGTCCGCCGCCAAAGCCATTTGGTTTCGGTTTAAACAAGTTCCGCACTTGCCGAAAAAGTTGGAGAAATTGATTGAAAAGCTCTATAATTTCTGGACCTCGTAAAGTCTGGTATCCCAAGATAAGCGCAACGATGGGAATGCTCAGTAGAAGTCGAAAAACATGAAGAACTTTCGCGGCGGGTTGACTTGTTAAAATTATAGCCAAAAAATACGAATAAATGAAGATACAGAAGGTCACAATTCGATGGGTGATACCAATCCACTTGATCCATTTGCAATTTGATACCCTTTCCCCATCTTTACTTTTTCTAAGGCAAAAAAATATGACGCCAATTAGTTGTGCGTAACGGAAAATGTATCTCAGAATTAAGGCGTTAAGTTTCGGAACACTCGTGAGATGAAAAATTCCGTACATGATCGACCGTTTTGGTTTAAACTCCGACTGAATTTGGGATATGGTTGCTTTAAGCAATGGAACACCAGGTGCATTTGGTTAATGACAATTTAAGCTGAGGCCCGATGATATCATGAGCTGACAGGTGACTGGAGTTGGCAGGTAACCATCGAGATTAATTTTGCTAATGACAGCTTAAGCAAAATTTAGATTAAATTGTTAGCGGCATTTAAGCTAAAAATAAATTATCTGGTGAAGGTATTATCTTTGATTAAGAACATGACATTTTAAGTATGTGAGATGCTAATATATTTATGAAATTTATTTGGTATGGAGTATAAACCTTTATTATTAAGTTCTTTAACTGTATTACACTTTACATGATGAAACCCAGGTAGCCAATAATACAAATTTAACAACATATTGCCGGTTGAAAAATTAAAAAGCCCTAAGATGAATTACCAACTTTTCCACCTAAGAAATCGTTCAATCTGAATCGAATTAAAGAAAATCATATACAAACTCTGTATGTCCATTCTCATAATAGAAATCTGCGGGTTCACTTATCTCGAATTAAATAACCTTCAAGAATAATTTTGGAGCCACACTAAGCATATTCAATGTTAATTCTATTATCATTTTGTAAAAGATAATAACTATGACTTATAAACGATCTATGATGGTTAAAAAAAATGAGAATACCAAAAAATTCTACAAGGCAAAACGGACGTACCCAACATTTTTTTGAACGGAGGAAGTTGCTAGTAATATCCAAAGATTTCCGACTTGTTTGAGTTGGCAGACTCATGAACAAAACAAGTCATAAATTTGTATTTAATTATAGAACAAATATATTTCATTAATAAAACTTTCATTATTTGGGTAGATAATTTTTCAAATGAACAGATCAAAATTACTAAAATTTAGGGCGAATAATTTTATATGTAATTATAAATAAATCAAAACACAATTCTTAAACCAAATAATCGAAATACAAAACTTTTGAACCTATTCGAGCTGTATTCGGTATTGTACTAAAATGGTCAAGTAACTGACCATGGCCGAAAGGAATTCCATGAAGAGTTCCTTGGATACAATAAAAAGACCAAGCGGGCGCACTCGAAACTCGTACACACTCAGTTCTATATAACACCATTCCAACTACAAGAAAAATATATATTTTACATTGTAATACTAAATTATAATTCTGTTCATTTACATACGTTTTTTTGCCAATTTCGAATTTTGCTAAGACTGGAATTATCCAGCATCAACAGTCGAATTTCACCAGACTTCACCACTGCCCTTTGGACCGACCAAGCCAAAATAAATATGTTTAACAACTCATTCACAGTGTTTGAGCATAAGAGAATCATATCATATTTAATGCGGATAATGACTAAATATGCAAAAAGGAGAGAGCACATACCATTATAGCCCAATCCAAAAACAAGTGGAAGATCATAGACTTTTTGGAACGCAGATGCTAAGGAATTAAGGTCCCTGTAAAAATCCAAACACTTTCTAACGTTTTTTCGGGTCTTTCTAAGTTTTCCATTAGTCGGCTGTAAATCCAAAGTCTGCAGTTCGGATCTAACAAAATCGTTTATATCGCTATATAGGAGGGCCAAACTTATATACCACAAACAGGCAAAGTATGTGAGCATTTTAATCCCAAAGGATAAATAGGTGTCAGCAAATACAGCAATTATTTCACGCGGGCTCCAATAGGGCTTAATCAAATTTAGAATGTAGATCTCCTCGTGTATGAAGCTGAGTATCATAAACAATAAAACTATTAATTCATTTTTTCCTCCAAAGCCATTATGATTTTCATCGCAAAAGTCTTGAACTCGTCGAAAAAGTTGAAGTAAATTATTGACCAACTTAGTGACCTCTTGTCCTTGCAATATCTGCAATCTTAGGATGGACATGCAACAGCCAAATTGGAGCACGAAACGGTTAAGGTGTAGAAAGTGTTCGGTATACTCGACGTTTGGCACATCCCAACTGAAGAACATTGTCATAAATATAGTTTGACATCCTATGCGAATAATGGCAGAGTACCACTTCCACTTGAGAGAACTATCCTCCACCGCCACTCGGTTATCAGAAGTGGTTTTAAGTCTCAAGCCCACTGCTCCCATAAATCTGAATATGTAAAGACTCCATCGCAGAATTCCAGCGGAAAGTTTTGGAGTATTTAACTGACGAAGTACCCCGAACATTATACAAGAGGTTACAGCCGCGATTAAGCTGATAGAAAAATTGTAAACGTGAAAATATCCACCTCGAAGTGCATTACTCTAATGAAAATTTTGACATCATAGATTGGCAATATTTATGGTGTCGAATGCATAGCCACGATTAAGGTGAAAGTAAAAAATTATAGTTTAAAAATATGCACTTCGAAGTGCATTTAACTAATGAAAACTTGGACATCATAGATTGACAATATTTGTGGTGACAAATCGTTGACACGTTTTTAGATATCTTCATCTATTTAACGCATTGATCACCCACGCGTTTCTTTTATAAGACCTTCCTCTAAAAATAAAATACTTAATTGCTCTTTTAAAACAAGAGAGAACGCTATAGTCAATGTCCTCGACTGTCAGATACACGTTACTCAGCTAAGGAAAGTGCGAGGGAGATGGAGATAAGCATGCAGCAAATCGGCTGTTTCCAAAGTGGCACACTTTGTTTGCCTATAACTTTTAAATGAATGGTGTGATTAAAAAAAATTTTGGCATTTAGATGGGTATTCATAATCAGAACAATATCTCAAATGCACTTTTACAAAATTAAAAAAAATGTAGGCGCCAGATAGATAGATTTAGAGTTATGGGCGTTTGTGGTCATTAGACTGGGCGTGGCACTCCGCTGAATCAAACGTTTTAATTAGTACTAACTCTAGTGAATGAAAAACATAATACCTCCATAGCATTTTAAATACTCTGTATAAAGAACTGCGCCGTAATATATCAATTATTGCTATCAATTTCAACAATTAGTCAAATCAAGCAGATTTGCAATTTACAGTTATGCATGTGAATGTAAATTATTTATTCAATGAATGCGGCTTTAATGATAAATGTGATCAACGAAAACCGCTTAAATGCATTGCGGGTGTTTATGTGTTTGTGAGTTGGCTAGTCTGCCAATTTCACATTAAGTGTAAAGTTATTTATGAGCGTTAATGCATATTCAACTAATGACCCTAAAACACACGCACATTTGATTTTAAGGCTCTTTACTATGTGCAAACATTGGGACGGTAATGCCATTAAAACCATCTCGCATGTAAAATAGAATGAAATGAAATTAAATGAAATAGTATCGCTGCCTAAGCGTTCATTGATTTAAGCAAATATTAGTTTAAGTTTGTGGCATATTTGCCATTGTTAATGAGAGACAGTGAAATATCAACAGCTGTCATAAACAGGAAGGGTTCAGGGTTTGAAGTCGTCAAAGGGATCAAAGTGTCCTTATCCCCGAGACTCTTACTGCCCGCCACCCACTTTGCAAACGCTTACCACTTGCCCCATTAGAGTATGTCACTAATTTTATAATGCAAGCCGCAAGACATAAAATCTACAAGGCCAACGTGCTTGAGAATACAAGTCAAGTATCTGAAGTGTGACAATCATACATACGTAAGTACAGTGCGCTCCATAAAACCGGAGTTAACTCATTAATTGGTAGGAATTTTGGACCTGAAATAACAATTTTAAAGTCCCCAAATTAAATGGTTATTCCTCTTTCAGAATGTATTTTAATACCAAACAGATAAATATAACTAAATAAAATAATATTTTATTGAAATTTATTTAAATCAGTTATAAAAATAAGATATAAATATATTTTAAATGAGTCATAAAAAATATTCAAGTTGAAAAAAACGAAGGAAACAATAATATATTACATTTAAATGATTTATAAGTATTAAACAAATTTATAATTAAATATTTAAAATGGAAATTGTAAAAAACTGTGAAAAGTAGTTTTTTTTTGTTTTTACCTATAAGGGCTAACCTTATATTATAATTAAGAAATTTGACATTAAGAATATACAACAAGTAAAAGAGTATTTCGGATTCTAAATGTTTGAGTAATAAGATAAAGCTTAATTTAATTTAGAATTAGGGTTCTGTCTCGCACTGTACTGCGGTTGTCCTGCTCTAATCGCCTGTCTTGGTCAGCATTTAGGTTCGTTTTTGTGGCTTCTCCCTGCTCGTATTTGTGGGAATGGATATATCTGGGCTTTTCAGTGCGGGTCCTGTCAAATTGCTGCGTTGACAACTGACATGTGCCTACGGTCTCCTTGTCCCACCATCTGGTTCCTGGAGAAACGTTAGCTTTATTATAGCCTTTAATTACTGTTGGCCAGTTAGCCAGTTTGCCAGTTGTCACGGCCAGCAAACTTAATGCCGCTTTCACTTGCTTGAATTTCAAAACCTTTCGTGTTTACGGCATTTGCTTGTAATTTTATTACATTCCTTTCTCGCTCTCTCCTCTACCTCTCTCGCTGTCTCCTTCTAACGCAGAGTGGGCTTCTATTTCAGCCTGTCTCTTCATAAATAATTAATGCCTTTGAGGTATGTAAACTAACAGGATACGGTTGTTCAACGACATGTCCTTGTGTGCGTGTGCGAAAAGGAGTGTCTACTTTATGTCCTGTAAATAAATTTGAGTGCGTAAGTGTAATTGTGTTTGCTTTGGCTAACAAGTATAACCTTCCTGCATATGTATAATGGATATAAAACCAAGACTTTCGGGTTAATGAGTGTATCTAGTTAACGTCTGTTAGTGGTCGAAATACCACCAGTTTCATCAGACAGAGATAACAATTTGATATGGGTCTAACCATCATAAAAAGTTGGTTGATTTTATTAGATTATAATATGTGCGGTTTATTGAAGCATAAGATTCGAGTAAATTAATTTTCAGATTTGAGAACCCTTATAAAAACAGCTATTTTACTAACCTTAGTGAAATTTAAGGGCAATAAGGTGCAAGCCCCATTGTCCGTAAATAAACACCAGACACTTAAACTTAATTATAAACAATCCATTGATGGAACACAAACAGTCATCTTGGGCGACACTACTTTGATCAGCACTATCGAAATAATTGAATTTCAAAAGGCTTGCCCAAGAATTCTCGAGTATAAATGCAGGTGAGCCGACAGATGATATTTATGACAATGGTGTGTAATTTTAATACGCCAGCCAGCTTAAATGAAAAGCAAGAGAAAGCCGGAGAAGAGGCCACATTGCAACATTGCAGCAGGCGTAAATTGGTGTCTAATAAACACATAATCAAGGTTCATTTGCTGCAGGAGGCACTAAATTGCATTAGCACAAAGGCTGACATGCCACCACCTTCTACCTTCCACCTACCACCTCCCACCTTTCACCACCACCCACTTGCCACCTTTCGCCCGCACAGTTTGCCAACTTGTCGACAAATATGTGTGCAAGATATTTGGCCTACGGGCGTGTCGTATGGCTGCTCGATTTTCCGCCCAGCCCGAAAATCCGTGACAGTTTAGTTTATGGCCCATGGCAAGTTGGGGCGTATCTCAGTTACATTCGAATGCATTGCCCCGGCAAAGGCAACAACAAAGCCGTAGCATTGTAATGAGCTTATATGCTCCTTTGAGCCAAAGGAGTCTACTCAGGAAACTCAAGCCCCCCCCCCTTGGCGTACAAGCTCATGTAAGTTCCACAAGCTCATGATCAAATTTCACCGGTTAAATGAGCAAACACAAATCACAACATTCATCCAAATAATGACTAAACACATCCCTCAAATCAATAATGCCGGGCTTTATATTAATTAATCTATATTAAAGCTCAAACTCAGTTAAGTGTGAAATGAACAAAAACATTTACAAGCATGCCTCAGAAATCTCGCTGTAAGATTTTAAGTACTACATGAATTTAAGCTTTAAAGATGTTCCTAAAGATGTTCCTGGATTTTAAAAAATTGGTTTCTATGGCCACTTTTCCTATAAATTACGAATGGTTTAGCCGTATTAAGCCTTTGGAAGTGCCTAAAAATGCAGAGTTACATACTTTGACCCTGATTTTCATAAAACTGTGATGTGATGGAAAATTTCGAAGTTTGGGGTCGTAATCTACTGGTAAAATCCTTTCCGATTTTGTAGGGCCAGACCCTGAACATTGAAACAAAAGAAATTAAAATTATTTGTTTCTACAAATAAAAAAAAATCAGGATGAATACTTTTTTCAGGGTAAAGTAGAGGTACATTTTCCAGTTTAATATTTTCTGTGAGACATTTCGAAAGCTTATTTTCTAGCAGTTTTATCTGCAACTGAGTACTACAAAAATATGCAACTGGTTTTAGAATCTGAACAGCTGTGGGGCAGACATCTTCTAGGCCCTGGCATACATAAAGTTGCAATCAAAGAGGCCAATCCGACTGAGCCGTTGACCCCGGCCCACCACCTCGCCCCCATTGTCCACAACCACCCACGAGTCCAATCTCCCAAAAACACCAGGCAGCCATCCCGTGCACCTAGCCACTAATTGCTTTGGGCGTTGGAATGCCTGCCAGTTTGGCAGCCGGACAATGGCATTCGGGTTAGAGTGCTCCTCGCTGCAATCACGACCCCATTGTGACCTTAAGCAATTTCTGTGCCGGCTACTAATGTGTGCTACACTGCACTGCCACGCCCACTAATTACGGCAATGGCCGTGCCGCCCAGCGTGGGGGCGAGAAATTGTTAATTAATTATCAGTTGCAGCTATACTCTTTGTTGTGGGCTGGCTAATGCATTATGTTTATTGGAATTTCGTACAGAGCGGATGTTAACCCTCTAGTACGATGAATCGGAATCGGTATAGACCATCGGTTTGGCCTTGCGTCCAGCACTTGGGCTCTGGAAAGACTCGTCGGAATCCGATGGGAGAATCTTCTTGCCCTTGGAAGTGCTGCAACGGGGTTCATCGGACAAATCGTCATCGGAAGCTGCCGCCAAGTTGACCTTAGAGTAGTTGTCCTCATCGTTTGACCCTTCTACATCTGACTGATTTTGGTTGATGTCCATATCGCTATCCGGATCCGTATCATCTGCGGTGCAGTGACGCATGGGCCTAGCCGGCGGCTTGCGTCGATTCATCTGAGTCTCGCGACGCTTCTCACGCTCCTCGAGACGCAACTGGGCCAGTTCCTGCTTGACGCGACGCTCATGATCCTGGGCAGGATCAACATCCGTGTTCATCAGCACCTTGACGCCCGTCTGCGGTTTATTCACGGCGCGATTACGCATACCCTGGACATGAGTCTGTCCGAATTCGGAGTCCAGTTTGGGACGCAGTGTCATCTTGTCCTTGATCGGTACCTGAGGTTGGTAGAAGCTCTCCAGGCGAACATACATGTGGTTTTGGTCATTTGTCACCGGGTGGTGCATCACATCGAAGACTTCGCCGCCCACATGAAAGGTCTCGCTGCCATCGGACCAGCGAACAATCCTAGAATTCGACTCCTTGATCTTATTTTCATCCTCCCTCCACCTCACTGTAGTTTTTAGACGATTTTTAAAGTCCTCGCGAGCCTGTTCGTCTTTCAAATCCTCCGAAGTCATGGCATTTTTAAAGTCTTTAGCCACGTAGGCCTTGGATTCTACGGCTATGAAATGGGGCATTTTTAGATACTGCGATTGATCATCAAGATGGGCTGAGTTTTCAGCCGGTAGGGTGGCACGGAACTTTGCCGTCAACTTGTTTCCCAACATTTGGCGCTGTTGCTCTTCAATGGACAGTTGAGCGCCCTCAATTTGGGCAGTTTCTTCGCCACTGCTGTCGGAGATTTCCATCTCAGACCATATACTTTTCCCGGTTTGTTTTCCATCATCCTTCTCCCCATCCTCATTCTCCGAAGTATCCCCGAAGTAATTAGTATTTGGGTTCAGACCGCCAGTAGAGCTATTCTCAAGGTCAGGCAAAATCTTACCATCACTATCTGAGCTTGTACTCAAGCTATACCTGACCGCTTTTGGAGAAGATTTGTCCTTTGCTGTCGGAGAACTCTGTTGAGAGCTAAAGCGAGGTTCAGAGCTCTGACTCGGGACTGGAGGAAAGGGCAAATCATCAAATACAATTTCATCCATTGGGATAAAGCTCGTGGAAGAATTAATGGGTACATCCCGATCGGTGGTCGGTAAATTTCCCTGAACGATATTTATCGTTGGTCGTCTTTTGTGCAGCTGACTGCCGGTTGGTTTGCCTAGTTCAGGGTTTCTGAAAAAATCATATAGGTTTAATCAAGTAAACTAATATTTAAACACACAACTACCAACCCGTCAATGCTGTTTTTATTCGAGTCGTCTGCTGATTTCTTGATCCCTTTAGCAAAATACTTATCAGCAATTATGAATGGTTGGTAAGGACGTGGTTTGCTTGTGCCAACGTTGCTAGTGATTGAACCCACTTCTTGGTCTTTTTTGCTAAATTCTTGCAGTTCCTCTCTGAAAATAACAATACGAGTTTAGTAAATTCGCCGTAATATATTTTACTGCAACACACCGATTTTTACGGCCAGTAGAATTATGATTATAACCCGGAGTACCGCTCGTCTTATCGTCGGTGACTAATGAAAAAATAAGTTTTTAATAACTTTTGTTTAAAGAATATTGTTCAACTATGCAAACCTAACGCGGCACTATATTGGGGATGTACACTGGGGTCGACCATAGTTCTCAAGTTTAAGGAAATCGTTTAAGAAAAAATTCGATGACTTTTGTCGCAGCAAGAAAAAATTCGTCTGTTCACTTCGAGTGCAAAATAATTTATGCTTTGTCATATATGACAGCAAAGTCAAGTGACTTCATTTATCGATTAGTAGAGCACAGCATAGGGTAATCACCATTTATTTTAACAATTAGTGGTGGTAAACTTTGCAACTTTGATAAAAATAATTTACACTTATGTTTGAAATCAAAAATCATATAGGTTTAGTGAAGTAAACTATATTTTACCCACCGGTCAATGCTGCTTTTATTCGAGTCGTCTGCTGATTTCTTGATCCCTTTAGCAAAATACTTATCAGCATTTATGGATGGTCGGTAAGGACGTGGTTTGCTTGTGCCAACGTTGCTAGTGATTGAACCCACTTCTTGGTCTTCTTTGTTAAATTCTTGCAGCTCCTCTCTGAAACAAAAAAATACGAACTTAGTAAATTCGACGTAATATATTTTCCGTCAAAATTGTGCAAATTTAGGAGCGAGAACAGAGGTGGACTTTTAAAATATTTTTTAGTGGACTGAAGAACTCGAGCCCTGCTATACCCTAATTATAAAAGCAAAAAAAATAAAATGCAGCATTAATTTAAGATTGTGCAGACAGCAAGGATCTCAGCGCTTTATGCCTTTTGCCCACTCATATACTCATATGGCATGCCAGGGCAATAAAACTTGCATTGCCATTTTATGTTTAGGTTAAGGATGTAAACTAATATTTAAACACACAACTACTCACCCGTCAATGCGGCTACTATTGGAGACGTCTGCTGATTTCTTGATCCTTTTAGCAAAATACTTATCAGCATTTATGGATGGTCGGTAAGGACGCGATTTGCTTGTGCAAACGTTGCTAGTGATTGAACCCACTTCTTGGTCTTCTTTGCTAAATTCTTGCAGATCCTCTCTGAAACTAACAATAAGAGTTTAGTAAATTCGCCGTAATATATTTTCCTGCAATATTGTGAAAATTTAGAAGCGAGAACAGAGGTGGACTTTTAAAATATTTTTTATCGCATACTGGACTGAAGAACTCGAGCCCGGCTATATTATACCCTAATTATAAAAGCAAAAAAAATAAAATGCAGCATTAATTTAATATTGAGAAGACAACAAGGACCTCAGTGCTTTATGCCTTTTGCCCGCTCATATACTCATATGGCATGCCAGGGCAATAAAACTTGCATTGCCATTTTATGTTTAGGTTAAGGATGTAAACTAATATTTAAACACACAACTACTCACCCATCAATGCGGCTACTATTAGAGACGTCTGCTGATTTCTTGATCCTTTTAGCAAAATACTTATAAGCATTTATGGATGGTCGGTAAGGACGTGATTTGCTTGTGCAAACGCTGCTAGTGATTGAACCAACTTCTTGATCTTCTTTGCTAAATTCTTGCAGTTCCTCTCTGAAACTAACAATACGAGTTTAGTAAATTCGCCGTAATATATTTTCCTGCAAAATTGTGAAAATTTAGAATTTAATATTGTGCAGACAGCAAGGACCTCAGCGCTGTATGCCATTTGTCCTTTCATATACTCATGCCAGGGCAATAAAACATGCATCGCCGTTTTAGGTTTAGGTTAAGGATGTAAACTAATATTTAAACACACAACTACCCACCCGTCAATGCAGCTTATATTCGAGTCTTCTGCTGATTTCTTGATCCTTTTAGCAAAATACTTATCAGCATTTATGGATGGTCGGTAAGCACGTAATTTGTTTGTGCAAACGTTGCTAGTGATTGAACCCACTTCTTGGTCCTCTTTGCTAAATTCTTGCAGTTCCTCTCTGAAACTAACAATACGAGTTCAGTGAATTCGCCGTAATATATTTTCCTGCAACACACCGACTACTGCGGCCAGTAGAACCATGATTATAACGCGGAGTACCGCTCATCTTATCGTCGGTGACTAATGAAAAATACGTTTTTAATAACTTTTGTTTAAAGAATATTGGTTATCTATGCAAACCTAACGCTCCACGATATTGTGGATGAACACTGGGGTCGACCATAGCACTTAGGTTTAAGAAAACTGTTTGAGAACAAATTTGATCTGGTTTTAGTCGCAGCAAGAGAACATTCGTCTGTTTACTTCGAGTGCAAAATAATTTATGCTTTGTCATATATGACAGCAAAGACAAGTGACTTGATTATCGATAAGCAAGGCACCTTTTATTTTTACAATTAGTGTTGGTAAAGACACATTACATTGCAACTCTGGTATGCTTGAAAATCGGTCAAATTTAAAAGCGAGAAAAGAGGTGGACTTTTAAAATATTTTTTAGTGCATACTGAACTGAAGAACTCGAGCGCTGCTATATTATCCCCCAATTATAAAAGCAAAAAAATAAAATACGGCATTAATTTAATATTGTGCAGACAGCAAGGACCTCAGAGCTTTATGCCTTTTGCCCACTCATATACTCATATGGCATGCCAGGGCAATAAAACATGCATCGCCATTTCCCACTCGTCATCGACTCTTGACGATATGGCCCGGCCATAAGCCCTGTGCTTTTTTGCATTTTAATATTTTTATGAGTTCTCGATTAATTAAAACTCAACAACGAGCACCTGCCCAGCGAATCGGCGGCGCCACGGAAATGCATATTGCATATTATCCGGCGAAGAGGTCATCAACTCGAAAGCAGGACAGCCGCCGGCGAATGCGGATCAAATGATTTATTCATAAATTCCGCATACGCTAAGGGCACAAAAAATGCTTGTAAGCCGCAAATAATTATTTACAATAAGTCGGCGGTAATGAGGTTGCCGTGGCAGCCGTAAAAACATGAACCTGTCGTTAAGGGTTTTCAGCGTAAATTAATAAACGGGGAATTAAACGAATGTGCCGAGTAGTCGATGTCCTTATACGGGTGCAATAATTGCCTGTCAACTGCTTAACGCTTATCTTGCCCCCAAGCACTGAACGGTCAGTTGAATGGTAATCAAATTAAACAAGAGTGCTGCACTTTAAGAGGTACTTAAATGTATGTTATTTATATGAATACATCTTTAAATTGTGGGTGCCCTGAATTAATTTACCCACGAGAAATGAGTCAAAAATAAATTCGATTTTGTATTCTCCCTGTCAAAAACTACCATTTAATTTTCGGCTTTCGTCTCCAACACAACAAGTCAAATTCGCTCCAAAATTCTGTTTTTATATTTTCAAAATTATCAAAGTTCTTTTAGATTTACCTTTTAAATTACAACATGGCTTACAGCGGCATGGGGCTACCGGGTATTTTTTGTCCGGATGTAAGACAACCTTTAACAAGATTTATTTTTTTTAAATCTAATATATTATGATATACCAGGAAAGCGTTGAGCAGTTTGCAAGACTTTACGGAAGTGATAATTTTAGCAAAATTATGATAATGGCCACGAGCAGTCGTCATCCGAATGATTATTTGAATAATCTGCAGGCACCAGTTCATCAGTCACCGGGAATAATGGAGGTCAGCAAACCCAGGTTTTATGGAAATCAATCACCTGCTGAAGAGCAAAATCCTAAAGTTAATCCCCGGTATAATGTTCAGTAAGGATTATAAAATTGGTTTCCAAATTATTGTTAATATTTATCGTATTATTTAGTCCTGTTCAAGGATCCAGACCCGTAATGCATGGGGCCTGTGGTGATCATTATAGGCCCCCGCAAAATTTTAAGAGCTATAAGCCCGAATATCCCTTGGTACACCCCCATCCAGGAGTCCAAAGTCAGACGCAAATGCAGTACCATCCTCAGCAGTCGTAGCACCTGAATTTTATTTATCCACCTCCACCTGGACCCAGATTTCCTTGGCTTTAAATCACGTATTCCGGCAAAATCCATTTAAGCAATCGACTTCGCTTGTTTGTAAGTTTTTGTTGGTAACGGTTCAACCATGACGTGCATTTCTGTATCGAAAATCTTATTTTGTATCACAATTATGCATAAATCAATATTTAATTCAATATTTAGTTCACAGAGTTTCCATTGAATTCAATAATAAAACTGGCATTTTCACCTAAACGAGATAGGTACGCAATGGGGAAAAAAAACAATTTTAACGGTTTAAAATAATTCTCACAAAAGTTTTCGCACAAAACAAGGGGCAAACAAGGGGTAAAAAAAAAGGCCAAAAAGAGCCGAAATCGTTTGTATTTTCCTTCTGTTTGTTTGGGAGCTCTCAACTGCGCCATTCAAGTTTGTTAAACATTAAAATGGAGCTGCAATAGAAAAACGCTAACTAAACGCGAGCAGACAGCAAACAAAGCATCCCAAAAACGAGCGTGTGTGAGTGTGGGTAAAACCAACACAAACACACTCCAACCCACACACACTGGCATCGCCTTCCAGGCATAGTGCAAAATAAACCAACAGCAAAAATAAATATTAAAATTTGTGCAATAAAATGCCGAGCAATAAAACTAAAATAAGTGAGAGGAAAACCAAAAAAAAAAAAAAGAATACAAAAATAAATGGAAAGCAGTAGAAGTTTTATCCCCTCTGCGAGTGTGTTAGTGTTTTCTTATAGACCGCCAGCGGAAGTGGCAAGCGCCTCAAGTTGCGAAACACATACACACATGCCGCACCAACACCACCACCCACTACTGCACCACTTACTGTCTGTCTGCCAGTGTTGAAAAGCACCCGATGGGCAGGGTAGGGGTTGCCAGCCAGTTAGTTTATCGCGCTTACCAAATCTGAGGAACCGGCAGGATGTGGAAGGCACAAGGAGGGGGCGCAAGTATTACAAAGTATATGAAAATAAAGAATCTGGATTGGCGAGGAGGCCAAGCAATCGCCGAGAGAAATGCTGTAAAAATAAGTTTAATATATCCGCATTAAGATTGCCCAAGATTACCACTCCCCGAGTTAACACATACACACTTGCACAGTGTTGCCACATTTTCAGCTCGAAAAAAGTGCATTCAGCTTGTAGCTAAAACCTTTAATAGAAAAAAGGGTAGAAGGTACAGGTTTACAAAAGTATACGAGTTAAACTCAATTCTGTATTAAATCAAAACATTAATTTGTAATTTAATTTTTCTTGGATTTTCAAAATATATACGGTCAGTTAGACCAAAGTCAAGTGAGCGTCATATATCCAATATCAAGATTAAAGTTAATACAGCGATCCAAAAACGCTAAAGCACGTTACTTTTCCGTTTTAATAAAATGCAAAATAATGTCCTTATGATAAAAAATATACATGAAGCCCATAAATATTAAGTACTAAATATTATTCATACTTATGCTAAAAAAAGACACGTTTTCCGTTTTTAAATTTTTATTATTATTATTGCAAAAAGAATAATTAGGGTTAAAATTTAACATTTTTTTTTTAACATACAAAATATTGCAATAAATAGAAAAATATAAAAAAACACGTCAAGCTGGTTACACTGGCTCCTACAAGATTGCGCTTGTCGATGGCGAAATTCACTTTGCGGTTGACTCTCGCCTTAAAGTATGCAACGTTCTCGTGCACTTTTTTGGCCCGGCAAAGCAGGCAAACATCACGAGGGAAGCAAGAAGTCAAAGCAAAGCAACCATGTGATGTGTGGGAAAGAATAACAAGAGGAAAAATCGAAGCGGAAAAAGCGCTTGGGGAAAATGCCAAGTGAAGGACACCAAGGGGGAAATAGGGGTTGGGGGGAAGGAAAAGCCAACACCTGCCAGCGGAAAGCGGAAGTGGGCGGGGCTTGTTGTGCGGGCTGTTTTCGGTTGCCGCTGCCGCTTGGAATTCAATAAAGTGCCGCAAATGATTACTGCATAAAAGAAATGTGCAATCCTGTTTGCCGGTGTTTTTGCAGCTTGTGCATCCGGCAGCATTTAGGCGATGAGAAATGGTGGAGGAAGATAAAAGTTATGTGAGCACAATTGCGGTTAAAACAATAGAGCTGTCCGCAGAAGAAAACACTGTTTTCATTGTTTATTAAATGGGTAAGAGAATCCCAACTGCATTACAAATATAACTTAAATAGAGTTCATAATTTGTATTTTTAATTCAGATAGTTATAATGCATTTTTTTGGCAAACTGTAAAATACATTAGGTGCATAATAGTTTAAGATCTTTCCAACCATAGCATAAAACTTTTTATAGCTACAGTTACTAATAATTATATATATATATATTTTACCATATGTTACCATATATTTAAAACTAGTCATTTTTATGGTTGTGGAAACATACTTACAAATCCCACCTCATCTGTAATTGTGCTATGCAAAGGAATAAGCAAATGACGAATGGCTATGCAGCGGTAATAAAAATTAGATTATTCCATCAGGACTGAAATTGATTTTCCTCCTTCATCCTGCTCTCGCTTAGAAATCGATTTAATGTGCACCGAGGGCTTTCGTTTCCCGTTGCCACTTTCCCCACGCCAGCATTCTCCACTCACCTTGAAGATTTGCCACAGATAACCAAGCGGAACTGTGGCCTTTTTCCACTTTGCTTGGCGGCTGCTCGCCCAGTTAGATGGCCATCAACATGCAACGCCCCTTCGCAGACCGATAGACAGACAGACGGGGGGTCGGGAAAACATCTCGCTGTGGCATTGGGACGAATGTCGCAGCAAATGCAACGGAAAAGCGTCAACTTAATGGTCCACAACTGTTGTAATGTTCGCCACGTTGCTGATGTTGCCGATGTTGCTGATGCTGCTGATGTTGCTGTTGCTGGTCTCGTGTTGCCCGGGTGTCAGCATTAGTCAATGCTCGAGGGCGGGGTGGCACAAATGATTTTATGTATGGCTTGAAGCATTGCAGCAGCCGCGACAACAGGACACAACCAACAGCAACATGCAACAATAAAGTTTTATGAAACAACGGCAACTACTGGAAAAGTGCTCTTAGCTTGTTGTTCTTGCTGCTGTAGTTGCTGTTGCTGCTGCAGTTGCTGTTGCTGCTGTTGTTGCAAGTACCGTAGTTGCTGCTGCACCTGACGCTGCGTTGAACTCATCTCCGACGTTGCTGTCGTCGTTGTTGCTTTCGGCCATTTCCGTCAGCCAGCGCACTTAGTGCCACGCAGCGATACTGTCATGAATACACAAATGCACTCAACGAATTCATTTTAATTCTTAGAAAGCTCATACTTACTA